GTGGCTTGCTTTTTCATTGCATTTTATCGTTTTTTCTTCTGTTTCTTTTTAGTTTTCATGTTTATTAGACTTGATTGATTAGGATAACTCGTCCTATGAAAGCGACGATAAAGACTGCATTGAAATTGAAGAAAGCGGCCAGCCAATTCAAATAATTAAAGGACTCCCTACCTCACAAATTGCGCGCTCCAATCTTCCATCGCAATCCTGCGATAGGCGGCGGGTGCGGCCCCGGACCCCTTCTAGACAGTCGAGGAACACCAGTAAATACACAAACTTTTTGGAAGCACCACCAACACGTATAAATTAAGGCTTAGGATAAACCTCTTAGTATTATTCTAACAGAGCTACGTACATTGCGCGGGTTTGCAAAGTATGTGATAGCATGTATAATTGATAAAACTCAAGAATACCCTACAACACATACACTCACAAAAAAATCACGAATAAAGCTGCTGCGGACTTATTATGCAACCTAATTCAAGGCAGACCTATCCATGCGCTACCTTCCATTCCTTTACCTCTGTTCTCTGTATTGAAGGAGATCAGGGCTCACTGTCATGATAAAAACATTCAAATATAAAGTTTCAACCGCTCATAGTCAGATATTTCGTGGTATCAAGTATAAAAACTTTGTTGTAGAACTGAGCATTGCTCTGAAGAGGAAGACTAGTTAGAGTTACTTGCCAACATTTTGGTAATCGTTGGTTTGCAGATACAAGGAAGCTGTTCGCAATCAACCTATCAACATCACTGTACTGATGGAATCGCTTTGTCCTTACTGTCAGCGATGGTTCGTCAACAAACTTCCTGCTATTTTTAAAAATTTCAACAAATTCGTAAATATAGAAATTGTTCCCTATGGGAATGCAAGGGTCAAGGTACGCTCAGATCCTTCCGGAAGAAACGTTCCGTTTCAGAAGTACTGTTTAGAATGGATCTATCGATTGTCAGCACGGACCCGAAGAGTGTTATATCAATCGATTCGAGTCCTGTGTAATCGATTCTATGCAAGACCAAAGTCAGTATGTACCAATGATCTACTGCATTCAAAAACAGTTGAAGGTAAGTACAAAGTGGATTTGTTCGGAAACGGAAAAGGGGAGATAGGGTAGATGTCGTCATTGAGGAGTCCCTTCTATCTGCGCCACCTATTCAGCTCCAACTCGGAATAACCGTGAGGCATGACTATTTGACGGCCGACATCATTCTGATTTTCTGAAGGTCTACACCCATGCTAATATGAAGCAGAAGCTTCTTCCATAACTTTTGACTAATAAAGCTGAAAGGGTCGAGGCTACTTAAATTACCGAGGCGATTCATAAACTATTCAGTAAACAGGCAAGAGGTGCTGCCATTCCTTCCTCAACCATCTTATCATATGCAAAGGATTAACAGCGCTCAAAGAAGCACGAAGAGGATTTTCTGATTAGCTTTTGACTAAGGCACGGGCAAATACCGAAAGCCTCTCAAGCAACCACAACAGCGTTGAAGTAGCGGCTGCGTCCGCGCGATAACCCTTGCTATCTGACGCAATTAGAGGGTTATACCAGAAAACACTAAGCAGCAAAATGTTATTTTGCAAGAATTATAGAAAGGGATCGGGCACAGTCGAGACAGGTGGCATGAGAAATTGTTTTTTCAGATTGCGAACATCGAAATCAGACTTTTTCAGACCATATTTATAGGAATTTTTGTATAACTTCTTGCGGTTGCTATGATCTCCAAAGCTCTGAAAGTGCTCCTTTTGTTTGTATGACATTCCTCCACTGTTTACTTCATGGAGTCCTTTGTAGCACCCTGTGAATGAGGTCTGACGCGATGTATGCTACATAGAAAGATGATGATAACGCGATGATAAACAATACAGCGAGTTCAGCTAAGAACACTCTTTAAAAGGAAGTTCTATAATAGAATGGAAAAATTGTTCCGTACTTCAGTGGAAGCCGATTTCGAACGGCTGTAGTGGGTCGGCAGTCATGCGCCAGCCGTCATACTTTAAGCAGACGATTCGATGGGAACCTGGATCGTGCGTCGCAGTTGGTTGGAAAAGCGGTCAAAGCAACCAGCTGGAGTCCACATAAACCAAGGAAAGAATCCAAGCTAGTGCGAGAGAGTTGTAAAAGAACCTGATGCGGAGGAGCTGTCTCGAGTCTTCTAAAAAAGGCAGCATTGGTAATAGAGTTAGAGATTCATATAAGCTATGGAAGGAAGGTAGCAGATCGGTGCCATTCAGGGCAGGATAAATTTTGGAAAAAAGCGTCCTTCGAAATAAGTCCACCTTTAAGTTTGGCGACGCATCTGAGGAGTCGATGGGTATGAGCTGCTCGCAGGCAAAACCATCGTTGATGACGACTCTGTCATATTGACTAGAGCTTCCAACGGGAACCATAAAGTCACGTCCAGAATTGCAAGACGTTTTCTGCTCCAGAATTCTAATTAACGGCAATTGGCAAGAAAGACTAGAGACACTTCAATCAAGCTCTTTTTCTCGATTCTGCCTCAGTCTCCACCTTCCATGGATCTGCTTCCAGCGGTGTGCCGCTTGGCCTATCCTGTGAACCATTCCACGTAGGATGAAAGAACGACGACAGGCAACAGTGAAGAGCATTGGGCGCTTTTTAGATCAGTAATCGGCAGGATTCTGTAGAAACGCAGAAACGCATCCGATTCATTCTGACGGACGCTAAGCTCATATCAGTCGGTTTACAAATCAATTTCCAGAGATACGCTTGATTTGAATGACAATTTGAACTTCTCTTCTCAAATTATTAGTTACCCATGTCACGATCTGATCCTGCAACATTCTTGCTTTTTCAATGACATCTATTTTTTGTCGGAGAATCAAAGGTGTCCATTTTAGATGAGAGTCCCGTTTGTCAAAGGATCAGCCAAATGCTTCCGTATGCTGAAAGTCTCCGATGAAATACAAAGAAAGAT